TTGACTTTGCTGCTTCTCCTTCCCACTGACCTCGACTTGCCTCACTACGATTATCATCTTTCTGTTCCAGTCTCCCATCTTTGCTTAAGACCAGAAGGCCACTCAAGGCTCAGGGGCTCAACCACCTGGGTAACGAGTGGCTACCTCTTGCAGAAAACATTGCTGATCTGGCTACTGGACTCCAAAACTTTGTAACATCAATATCATTACAATACCTCTCTGTAATATGCTATAAATTCTAGACAGATAATGTTTATGTGATGCCCCTGGACCACACAAGAGCTCAAATAGTGTTTCATCTCTTGAGTGCCAATATGGTATAACTGATTGATTTATAAAAAAAAAATTATTGGGAAATTCCCATTATATCTATAAGTTTTGTCTTGCTTTACCATTGGGAAAAAAATCCCTTATTTTCAGGGGGTTTCCTCTGTCAGTAACATTGTTATATCCGGATCAGGGTCCCCTGTTATTCTTCTTAGTAAGTTATTACCATAAACATTCTGAAACTCCAAATTAAGTGCTATAGGGAGAAATACGGATAAACCCAGAGCCAGCCCCCAAGTATCTTTGAGGCATCTTCTCCATGTCTGCAAGATGTGATATATAAACGGGTGTGTAGTAGGTAACAGTACTCTTAATTGGCAAGTTTGCTATGGTAGCGTATGTAGCCCAGCTTTTACAAAACTCTGTTCCAAGGCATACTATGACTTTTTCTTATCCGTGGCCGTCTCTTATTCGCGTGAACAATACTGCCACATAATATCTGTATAAGTGTGAAAGACCCAGTCCCCCTCTATCTATAGGTAATGTAAGTGTATTGTAAGCTATGCGTGGGGTTTTATTACTCCAGATAAACAACATAAACAGAGAACACATTCTACAAAAAAAATCTCTGGGCACTAATATGTGCAATGTCTGAAACAAATAGTGAACTTTGGGGAGTATCATCATTTTTATGATGTTTACTATACCCATCAAAGAAAAAAAGAGCAAGCCCCATTTTATCCATAATTAATTTTAAGTAATTCTTTGTGTTGTACTGTTTCCCTAAATATGTTAGGCCTGTATCTGTCCACTTATAATTATGCTTCCTCTGTATCTTCTCTTTTAATATTTTATCTATCCTAACCCCCAGTATTTTGCACTTATCTATATTAACTTTTTTTTTTTGAATTTTTTTTTGAATTTGACAATTTTTATTTTGCGATAAAAGATCAGAGAGGGTGGGTACAGAAGGCAAAGGGGGTTAGGTATGGTTACAAAGGCTTTGGAAAAATTGCTACAGTTACAGTAGGTAAACATGGTCACAAAAGTAGTTTCTAGGTAGTACAGCATACAAAACAGTCATGATGCCACAACATGTGGGTCTCGTATATTTATATCTAGTCAGGTGTGGCTTGGATATACTCTTTCCATATTATTTGCGCGGTCGGTTGCCTTGGTTGTGGGGTAAGGGGGGTGGGCAAAGGGTAAGGTGGTAGGGGTGCGTCTGTTGGTTGTTGGTTGGTGTGTGGTGTGCATGGGTCGGGTCGTGTGGGGAGTGGGTGCGTGTGTGGGTGCGGGCAATCCTAAACTTCTAGTTCCTCCAGTCGGGGAGGTATATCTCTCAAGTCAAGTAACAGTTTATTGATTGTTCAGCGTGGTTTGTTTCTGTCCCATACTTCCCAAGCCTCAGTCCAGTAGGGGTTGGTTTGTGTTTTCCTCGCCATGATTTCATAGCTTTTAGTGGTTTCTATGGTTGTAATGCACTGGTCGATCGTAGGAGCAGTGGTTTGTTTCCATTTCCTGCTTAAGACGGTGAGGGCTGCTATACATATGTGGTATAGCAGGTACCTATTGTGCTTGTGAGGTGTTTGAGGGAGTAGCAGTAGTAGGAATGTTTCAGGTAGCAGGGTGATGTGCAGTTGGGTGCATTGGGTCGCTAGGTTTAGGACCTGTGTCCAGAATTGTGTCAATAGTGGGCATTGCCACCATATGTGCAGCAGAGTGCCTCGGTCCCTCTGACATCGCCAGCAGGTGTCTGGCGTATTTGGGTAACTGCGCTTGAGTCTTGTGGGTACCAGGTACCATCGGTACAATAGTTTGCGAGAGAGAGTTCCGTGTGGGATGTGCAGAGGGTCAGCTTTTTATTGGCGTGGAAGATATCCTTCCATTGGTCATTTGTGAGCTTGTGCCCTATGTCGTGTTCCCATGCCACTCTAAAGGTTGGTGGTTTTCTTTGGGTGTCTGTATTTTCAGAAGTGTAGATTGTCGAGATGAGTTTTACTGCCGGCTTTGTTTTAGTACATATTTCTGTCAGTTTAATCCAGTGTGGATCAGGTGGACTCTCGATTTTGTGCAATTTGTGTAGGTTTATCCATGATTGTAGCTGGATGTATGAGAAGGTCACCGTTGCTGGCATTTTGAATTCTTCGTGTAGGTCAGCGAGTTGTTTGAGGCCGTTGCCTTGCAGCACTTGCGACAGTGTGAAGATGCCATGCCTTTGCCACAGTTTGTAGTTGAAGTCTGGAATTAGATGGTGGATCGATTCTATTGGGGTCGCTGGTGATAGGGGTGATGTTGTTCCCTTCTTTTTGCAGTAGTCGTCCCACACGTTGAGGGTCAGTGCGGTTGTCGGTAGCATTTCTGATGTTTTGGGTCTGTGGTTCGGTGGCAACCATGCCATGGCGGGGAGTGAGATTCCTCTGGCGCCGTGTTTCTCCAGTTCGACCCATGTCATGGGAGTCGCGCGGTGGGCTGCTGCAATAAGTGGGGCGATCTGCGCCGCCCTATAATATCCTTTCACATCTGGTAGGCCCATTCCTCCTTGGTCACGTGCTGTAATCATTGTGGTTAGTGCTATCCTTGGTTTTTTGTAGTCCCATATGTAATCATTTATGGTACTTTGCAGGTCCTTTAAGTATTTGTTGGGAAGCTTGAGTGGTAGTGTACGGAACAAGTACTGAATTTTGGGTAGGATTACCATTTTTACTGAGGCTATCCGGCCCGTCCAGCATATGTATTTGCCTCTCCAGCTGTGCAGTAGTGTTCGTATTTCTGTGAGTAATTTGACATAGTTAGCTTTGTGTAGTGAGTTCGTAGATGGTGTGAAGAGGATGCCCAAGAATTTGATATGGTCTCGTCGCCAGTCGTAGTTAAAGTTAGCTTTGAGGGTTGAAAGTTCTTGGTCTGGGATATTGATGCCTAGGGCGAGCGTTTTGGAGACGTTCAATTTGTAGTAAGAGCAGGCACTGAAGAGTGAGAGAATTTTGTGGAAGTTGGGCAGGGAGATATGCGGTTGTTCCAGGGTAAGTAGGATATCGTCCGCAAAAAGGGATAGTTTGTATTCTCGGTTCTTGATTTTAATTCCATGGATATTGGGGTTGTCTCTGATCAGTTGGGTAAGGGGTTCTAGTGCCAGGATGTAGAGCAGTGGGGATAGGGGGCAACCTTGTCTGGAGCCGTTAGAGATGTGAAATGGTTTTGATATGAAGCCCCCATTCACCACCCTGGCTGTCGGTGAGGAGTAGAGTGCCGTGACAAGTGCTATAAACTGCGGGGGGAAATCGAATTTTCGGAGAACTGCCATTAGGAAAGGCCAGTGAAGTCTGTCAAAAGCTTTTTCAGCGTCTAGGGACAGTAGGAGGCTAGGGGTTTTGTTCCGTTGTATCTGATAAAGTAGGTCTAGGGTTTTCCTCGTACCGTCAGCCCCCTGTCTGCCCCCCACAAATCCCACCTGATCTTCCTGTATTAGGGAAGGTATGATGTGTGCTAATCTATTGGAGAAGATTTTTGCTATGATTTTTATGTCCGTGTTTAACAGGGAGATGGGACGGAGATTCTGGCATCTATTCGGGGGTTTCCCTGGTTTAGGAAGTGTGGCTACATGGGCCATTAACATCTCGTTTGGCAGGTGTCCTGTCGATATGGTATGGTGGTATACCCGTTGGAGGTAGGGGGCTAGTAGTGGCGCAAATTGCCTGTAGTAAGCGTTAGTCATGCCGTCAGGGCCTGGTGATTTTCCAGAGGGTAAGGAGTTGATGGTGTCTATTATTTCCTGTGTATTAACCTGAAGCTGTATGGTGTTTTTTTGTGCGGTGGTTAGAGTGGGGAGCTGCGTCTTCGCAAGGAATTCCTCAATTTCTGTTGTGGTAGGTTGGTGTAGTGTATGGTCTGTGCGGAGGTTATATAGAGAGTGGTAGTAATCGGCCATACAATCGTTGATGTCTTGCGGATTATATATTTTTTTGTCTTGGGCGGTAATCAGGTGCGGGATTTTTGAGTTTGCCTGTTGCTTTTTAAGCAGAGTGGCCAGATGTTTCCCAGCTCTATTACCTTGGGTGTACGTTCTCAGTTTCAGTTTGGTAAGGATATGTGCTGTTTTTTCCAGAGAGATTGCATTAAGTTGATTGGTGATATCTCGTATTTCTTCAGCATGAGCAGTGGAGGGGTTCAGGAGGTGGGCTGCAGTGGTATCTCTGTTTTCGTAGGAGGTCTGTGTGGTGTTTTTCTCTCATACGCTTCAGATAGGATGCTCGGCTGATCAGTATGCCTCTCATCACCGTTTTGTGGGCCTGCCATATCGAGAATATGGAGGCGTTGGGGTTATCATTGGTCATAAAATAATCTGTTAGGTTTGTTGTCAGCAGTGCTGCAAATTTCTGATCATGCAGCAGTGAGTCATTGAGGCGCCATGGTGGCTTACCTCGGTGTTGGTAGGTGGAGCGTAAAGTCATTGTTATAGGAGCATGGTCGGACCACACTATGTTGCCGATGGAGCAGTTTTCTATGTGTGGAAGTAGCGTGCCTGAGGCGAGGATGTGATCTATTCTGGAGAATGTTTTATGTACCTGTGAGAAGAACGTGTATTCTCTTTCAGAGGGGTGTTTTGTTCTCCATACGTCGTATAGGCTGTTTTCGTGGATGAGTTTTACGAATGCCTTAGTGTGGGGCTTGAGAGTGTGGTGCCTTGTTGACGTGTGTGGGGTGGTGGAGTCCATCTGTGTGTCCATGGTGTGGTTAAAATCCCCACATATGATCTTGGGGTCGTTCACATCTTCGGGTAGCTTGGTGAGAATTTTATGTAAGAAGTTACGTTGTTGGTCGTTTGGGCTGTAGAGGCATACTAGAACATATGGGTGCTCATTGATTCTGCAGTGTAGGATTATGTACCGTCCTTGGTTGTCTTTTTTGACCCGGAGGGTTTCTACAGTTAGTGAGTTGTGTAGCAGTATGGATACCCCTCTGGATTTGGAGGTGTGGGTAGCGTGAAATTGTGTGGGATAGTCCCTAAGGGCGAAGGTTGGGATTTTGGTGGAGACAAAGTACGTTTCTTGTAAGCAGACTATGTCTGCTTTGGTTTGTTTGATGTCATTGAGGAGCATACGTCGTTTATGTGGCGTGTTAAGGCCCTTGGTGTTGTGTGAGTAGAGTAGCATATTTGTTATCGTGTGTTATAGGGTGTGGAGAGGCTGTTGGGAGTCTGTTAGCTCAGTCTGGTTGATTATGGATCGCTGTGTTGGTAGATGTTGGCAGGGGAGGACCAGGGGTTGGGGGGGGAGGTGGGGCGGTGTGTTTGGGTAGGGTAGTATGTACAGGACCTAGTGGTCTGGTACGCTAATTGTACCTGGGGGAAAGGAGCAGGAGCTTCCAGATACGTGGCTAAGCGGGCTCCTTTGTTATTATTGAAGTGGAGCTGAAGTTGCATAGATAAGGTTGGCAAACAATAGAACGGAGGCATTAACATTAGCATATAACAGTTAACTTTGATTACAGAATACAAACAAGGATCATTGCTTAACCTGGCGCTGTGAGGTCGAGATACCTTAAGACACTGTGTATGATGGGATAGAGGACCGTCCCACTGGTTTCCTGGGCATACCTAAGGGCTGGTTGTCCACTCAGGGGTGTGCGTCTTGTGCGCCTCCCAGGTGGGGTGGTAGTTATGTGGTGCATTTTCACTGTCCCGAGTGGGTATGCCGGTGGGCAGTCATTGCCTGTGGGTGGGGGAAGGGGTACGGGGTATGCGCTGGGTGTTCTTAGGTCTAAATGGGTTTAGGCCTGTTATGTCAGGGATGTTCTAAATGTCCCCTTGGGGGGTTTTTGGAGGCTGCTGCCTGTATGTGAATTTGCATTTGTTAGTATAGCTTAGGGTGTACTTATAGGCGTTGCATATGGGTTTGTGGTACCGTGAGGCTTGAAAATCAGTGTGTGGCCGATGCCATGCTTTCGTATTGGCTATGTCGCTCTGAGCCCTATGTGTCCCTTGCACAACCTGAGGGTGTTGGGTTTGCGTGTCCCTTGGTGTTGTTTGGGGGTGTTTGGGCCTCACGACCTTAATTCACACATATAAACAGCAGGTACCACATTGAATCTTCTAAAGTTTTAGGTCACACAATATTAAAACATAACGTCACAGTGCTTCTATATTTACAAAAGAGAGCGGTACACCTAGCTAGAGGGCACAGGATAGGGAGAGGAGCATTACCATAAGCCCGGGCATATTGTACGTAATGTCTCGGAGGGTAAGTTATGGCCTTTTAGATATGGGATTCAAGGCCTGCGGGTGGAGCATTCTCCAAGGGGCTTACTCCTGCGTGAATTCAGTCATTTGTGCACATGCCGGTGAAGCCTGGTTAGTGGGAGCGAGTAAAGGAGTGGGTAGACGCCTTTCGATCCCGCAACCCCTGACTGCCCGCATATTTGGGGACCTCCCCAGGGTATACACTCCCTCATATTTTAGGTTATCATGGGCAATGAGATTTGGATTGCGGGTAGGGTGGGTGTCTTTAGAGGCAGCTTAGTGTGTCTGGTATCTACAAACGACCATGTGTATATTGGCAGAGTAAGCTGAGTTTAGTTAAGCATTAGATGATACTTGCGTCAGGTTTGCAGTGTACTTGTAAGGTAACGGGTCAGTTCATGTTAGTGTTGCGGCCTGGGTGGCGTTTGTCGTGCCGTGGTTCATTTGGCGGTTCCTGCAGTAGGCCCCATTTCTCAATGAGCTGTGATCCTTCTTCTGGGGTTGATATAATGGTTGTCTTCCCATTTTTGGTGAGGATCAATTTCGTTGGGAACCCCCACCGGTAGCGGATCCCGTGGTTGCGGAGCGTTGTGGTGGTCTGGGTGTATTGTGCCGGAGAGTGGCCGGCGAGATGTCTGCCATGATGCGCACCGATGGGAAGTCATCGTGGGGGTTCTCTCTGGTGCGGTGGGAGCGCAGGACCAATTCTTTGATATGAAAATAGTGGGCCCTGAGCAGGACATCGCGTGGTATGGAGTCTGGCAGATTCTTGGGCTTTGTCACCCTATGTATCCTGTCCACGAGGAGCATGTCTGCAGGTATGTCAGGAGCGTATGCCCTCATTAGGCCTCTCGCATAAGCTTGTAGGTCCTCTGGCAGAACCGTTTCTGGGACTCCACGAAGTCTTAGGTTATTTCTGCGCGCCCGATCTTCATGGTCCGCCAGGCGCTCTTCTATGGTTTCCATCTTGTGTTTAATCACCCGTAGCTGCTCTGAGGTGGTGGTTTGTGTGGCCTCCAGCTCCTGATATCGCTGTTCCATGGCGGTAGTTCTCGTCGAGAGGTCTCTCACCTCCCTTTTGATTTGGTCGGCAGTCGTGCGCCAAGTTGTGATTAATTTTTCCGCCATAGTCTCCATGGCGTGTTCGAAATGGCTCCGTGTCAGGCAGTCCGCTGTCAGGGGATCATCCGATGGCGCTGGGGAGGGGCTGGGGGCGATATCGTCTGCGCCCTCGTGTCCGGCTGCTCGTTGTGAGTCTGCCATTGGGGTAGATTTGTGGCCGAAAAAATTCATTTTTTCGGCTTTGGTGGTAGCCTTCTTAGTCTTGGAGGTTGCCATGAGAAATTTGGTGGCTTACAGGGTTTCAGCTCAATCAAGGGGTAAGTTTAATGGAGCCCTCGTGCCGGAGCAGAGTTTCAGACGTCCATCTTGCTCGGCGGTTAGCCACGCCCCCTATCTATATTAACTTTAACATTTGAGAATGCTCAGAATTTCTCCAATTCCATTTATAGCATGTATAATGGGTCTGTAATCGTAAGTAAAACATCATCTGCAAAAGCAGTTACCTTCGCCTCTCCTCCGGTGTACTTATATCCCTTGATATGTGTATTCATCCGAATGGCCGTAAGGAAGGGTTCAAAAGCAAAGACAAAAAGATGAGGGGATAACGGTCACTCTTGGCCAGTGCCATTACTTATGGAAAAGAGTGTTGACAATTGGCTATTAACTCAAATGTTAGCTGTGGGGTCTCTATTTAGTGTCTGTATCCAGTTACATAATCTAGACCCAAACCCAAAAGCCTTCAATGTAGAAAATAGATAGGACTGATCCACCCTGTTGAAAGCCTTTTCGGCATCAATCGCCAATAGGATAGTTGGAGTTTTCTCTATTATTGCTCCATGTATAACATTAAGAATCTTAGTGGTATTGCCCTGGCCTCACGGCCAGGAACAAAACTTGCTTGATCAGGGTGGATCAGTCCAGGCATAAGGGGTTTGAGCCTATTAGGAATTGGCAGAAGTAGGGCATTGGGGTTAGTAGACAGTCTTGTACGGTGATGTTTATTCCATAAACAAGCTAGCTTCATATTGTATGATGCAAAAAAAAAAAAAGCAAGTGTAATATGTTGCCCTTCCGCTGACACTGAAGTTTTTCTATTTTAGCATTTATTGAGAGCATTGAATGCTTAACCTGTTTAATTTGCATATATTTGCTTAGTCTGATTGTTGCAGACACGCTGCTTTATATTTTGATGTCTTTATGTTCGTGATTTACCTACACAGTTTCTAAGAGATATTTTATTATATTCTGATGCTGGATATCTATTTTATTTTATATACTATTTTGGCTGTGTCACTACAAGTCTAGTGTAAACCTGTTGAAATTAGGTCCTTACAATGATAAAGTGTTTTGGGTATTTCTTGCCCTGCCCCAATCAAACATGAGTGTTGCCTGTATTATTCGGTGACATAGTGACAGAGTCTGCGGACCTGTGTACTGAGTGCTAAATCATTTGGCCCCGTGAGCCAACAGTGTGTTTATACAGACAGTGTTGGGAGCTCCTTGCAGGATTGATTCCTGCCTGCCAGAAGGATCGATCAGAGGACGTGGTATTTGCCTGTCCATGAAGAATTGGGGTGGTTGTCTCTAGTTACAGAAAAGAAAACACGGACGACATAGTGGGACAGGTCTGAATCCCAAGCTGGGGACTACTGGGGTATACCCCTAGGTTTACCCTATTCTCGTAATAATTGTTGGCAAGCAGCGGGATACCACTTCTCTTATTGTTTTCAAACCACCACTGGGACACTGTGAACAGCAGTACTCCACAATCGGTGTTCCAAAAAACACCAGTGGGCAGCACTGTGCTAGGTGTGCAGCAAAAGACTGTCAGGTGGGTACTATCCCTACATGTGTAAGGGGCCCAGACAGTGGTATATTTTGGTTTTGTGCTGCCCTAGGTATGACAAAACTCGGGCACCCCACCCCTCCCCAATCTAACTTTATCTTTTTAAAACCAACGCACTCTTTTCTCTTTTCCTGACAGACACACACCCTCACTGATGTATACACTAATACAGATACACAGTCATTGGCACACACACTGTTTAAGCAACACTCACATTCACTGATGGATACACACATTCACCAACAGACACACATACACTCACTGACAGACACACATACGTACATACACTCACAGACACACACACTCACTCACTGACAGACACACACTCACTCAGTGTCAGAAACACACCAAATAAGAATCAGACACACTGACAAAAACACATACACACACTGTCAAACACACATACACACTCACTGACAGACACATATACACTCAGTGTCAAACACACACCCACTCAGTGTCAGAGACACACACTGACAGACCCACATACACTAGCTGACAGACACACTGACAGACATACAAATTCACTAACAGACATACACATTCATTGGCAGACACATATACACATTCACTGGCAGACATACTCTGTGACAGACACACACACTGACAGAGACTGACACACTGACAGAGACACACTCTCACTGACAAACACACACTCTTCCATAGACACACACATACAAACTCACTGACAGACATATATACACTCTTACTGACACGTGCACATACACTCTTACTGACACGTGCACATACACACATACTGACAAACACACATACACTCTTACTGACAAACACACATACATTATTTGACAGACACACATACACATACACTCTGACATACACACATACAAACACATATACACTCTTACTGACAGACACACATACACTCTTACTGACAAACACACATACACTTGTTGAGAGACACACATAAAAACTCACTGACAAACACATATACACTCTCACTGACAGACGAACATACACATACAGGGAGTGCAGAATTATTAGGCAAGTTGTATTTTTGAGGATTAATTTTATTATTGAACAACAACCATGTTCTCAATGAACCCAAAAAACTCATTAATATCAAAGCTGAATATTTTTGGAAGTAGTTTTTAGTTTGTTTTTAGTTTTAGCTATGTTAGGGGGATATCTGTGTGTGCAGGTGACTATTACTGTGCATAATTATTAGGCAACTTAACAAAAAACAAATATATACCCATTTCAATTATTTATTATTACCAGTGAAACCAATATAACATCTCAACATTCACAAATTTACATTTCTGACATTCAAAAACAAAACAAAAACAAATCAGTGACCAATATAGCCACCTTTCTTTGCAAGGACACTCAAAAGCCTGCCATCCATGGATTCTGTCAGTGTTTTGATCTGTTCACCATCAACATTGCATGCAGCAGCAACCACAGCCTCCCAGACACTGTTCAGAGAGGTGTACTGTTTTCCCTCCTTGTAAATCTCACATTTGATGATGGACCACAGGTTCTCAATGGGGTTCAGATCAGGTGAACAAGGAGGCCATGTCATTAGATTTTCTTCTTTTATACCCTTTCTTGCCAGCCACGCTGTGGAGTACTTGGACGCGTGTGATGGAGCATTGTCCTGCATGAAAATCATGTTTTTCTTGAAGGATGCAGACTTCTTCCTGTACCACTGCTTGAAGAAGGTGTCTTCCAGGAACTGGCAGTAGGACTGGGAGTTGAGCTTGACTCCATCCTCAACCCTAAAAAGGCCCCACAAGCTCATCTTTGATGATACCAGCCCAAACCAGTACTCCACCTCCACCTTGCTGGCGTCTGAGTCGGACTGGAGCTCTCTGCCCTTTACCAATCCAGCCACGGGCCCATCCATCTGGCCCATCAAGACTCACTCTCATTTCATCAGTCCATAAAACCTTAGAAAAACCAGTCTTGAGATATTTCTTGGCCCAGTCTTGACGTTTCAGCTTGTGTGTCTTGTTCAGTGGTGGTCGTCTTTCAGCCTTTCTTACCTTGGCCATGTCTCTGAGTATTGCACACCTTGTGCTTTTGGGCACTCCAGTGATGCTGCAGCTCTGAAATATGGCCAAACTGGTGGCAACTGGCATCGTGGCAGCTGCACGCTTGACTTTTCTCAGTTCATGGGCAGTTATTTTGCGCCTTGGTTTTTCCACACGCTTCTTGCGACCCTGTTGACTATTTTGAATGAAACGCTGATTGTTCGATGATCACGCTTCAGAAGCTTTGCAATTTTAAGAGTGCTGCATCCCTCTGCAAGATATCTCACTATTTTTGACTTTTCTGAGCCTGTCAAGTCCTTCTTTTGACCTATTTTGCCAAAGGAAAGGAAGTTGCCTAATAATTATGCACACCTGATATAGGGTGTTGATGTCATTAGACCACACCCCTTCTCATTACAGAGATGCATATCACCTAATATGCTTAATTGGTAGTAGGCTTTCGAGCCTATACAGCTTGGAGTAAGACAACATGCATAAAGAGGATGATGTGGTCAAAATACTGATTTGCCTAATAATTCTGCACTCCCTGTATACACTCTCACTGACAAATACACATACGCTCTTTGACAGACACACATACAAACTCACTGACAAACACATATACACTCACTGACAAACACACATACACTCTCACTGACAAACACATAAAATCTTACTGATAAACACACATACTTGCTAACAAACACACATACATACATACTTACTGACAAACGAAAAGATACAAACTCACTAACAGACACACATACAATTAATTATTTTTTTAACATTTTATTCCACCCAGCCTCCCTACCCTTTGGAATGCTGGCACGGAGTCTCTATGACCCTGTGGTTCACTGGGGCTACTGGGCTGAGCAGCTGGGCGTGCGGTGAATGCAAGAGGAGAGGGAGCTCTGATCTTCCTACTGAGCAGGGAGCTGAGCAGGAAGAGCTCAGGGGAGAGTGCTCCCTCGCCGCCCAGATTCATCCTAAGCAGATGCCAGCCTCGGGGGGTGCCCAAGGTGGCCAGCCGGATAGCTCCTGGGCCCCCAGGACAAGAGGCTGACAAGGCATCTGCCAGGGCGTTTAGTGGCAGA